TGGCATAGATGACTAGGAGGTTATATATATTTAACATCATGATAAGTTATATGACACTCACTCTTAGATGATCATAATATTTGACCCAAAAAAAAAAGATGATCATAATATACTATACTCACCAACTTTTTTCCTAACTCTTTATTTCAATTGCCTTACATAGAATGGGTCCTACATTAGTTTTACATACGATTGGATAATCTCATGGTTCACACATCCTATACAGGTGTTGGATAAGAGTTAAGAGAAAGAAAAAAAATTGGTGTGCCTAATATTATTGTCGAGTAAATACTCAACTGGTGAAGTTATAAGCATCACGGTTTACTATTGTGCCAAACGAATATAAATGTCCTATATATTTACAATGTTTAAATCAACAAGTTTATCACTTATCCATATATCTCGTTATCCATTTAGGTACGACACGGTATGAGACTAAACAAATTAACACGTTACAAGCACAAAATAGGCCCAAACTAAGTACGATGACCTATTTAGCTTTGATAAATTTCAAACACTAAAAAGTACAAATAAAATCGGGCCCATTTTTCTAGAACATTTAATGCATGACCGAACACGTTACGAGCATGAATGGGAATGGGACGAGGTCAAGGCTATGGGACGTGTCATGTTTAGGTTTTAGATATTTGATATGACACAAAACAATTAACAACTGAGTGCACATGAGCACGACGTAGAATACCAATGGGTCTACATCCCTGCCTGCCCCCTCTAAATTGAATTTTCCTTATCTGCAATCCATCGTTTTTTGTTTCTATTAATAAAATTCATGATTAGAATCCAACTCATCAAGTTCAAGATCTAATTTATTATAATTTTTAGATTCCCAAAATGCGTTGTTTTTATCTTCAAACAAAGCTTAGAGAGGACAATGACATTTTCACATGCCTCTAAGATGCATGAGACTCTGGATGATGTTTACTGGCAAAACACATTTATATCTGCTTGTTTTCACAGTTTTTATCGCTACCTTATCTTAGATTTCAAAGTAGCTAGGGTCCCCTCCCCATATTAATAATAGCTTAGCTAATGACATATCAAGTTGGCCATTTTGGCCAATATTGTAGTTATGGTTTGTAACAAATGCAAACTGTAGTTGGATGTTGAAATAACATATTCATCAAATGGACTAATAAAATGGACCAGTACACAATCCGAGCTAGCTACTAAAAAGATTTTATAAGAAACGAGGACAGATCCAAAAAGTTATGGTTGGCTTGAGAAATTAAGGTCTTTTTCTTTGGCTCACCTCTCTCCAAACTTTTCGATAACTATTGCTCTATGTCTCTCATCAGAAATATGAGGGATTTGATTTGCAGCCAAATAGGATTTTATGAACCTGCTTAGGGCTTGATTCTCTTCTCTGCCACATTGTAGCTATGAATGGGGAGATAAACCTTGAAAGAATTGAGGGAAAATGGAGCCTGCAAGACTTTCTGTAACATATTTGGACTGAAAAAAAAAAAAAAAAAAAAGTAAGGTAAACTTTGTTATGTAGAATGAAATTAACAATTTGAATGAGTTAATCTTATTTTTTAAATTAAAACAATTAAAACTTCTTTTTATTGACTTTTTACTAAATTGAAGAACGCATGTACCCTTGATGATGTAGAATGAAATTAACCATTTGAAATCATAAATGTCATTATAGTTAAATTATCACCAATATAATGGTCCTTTTCTAGAGGGATATACAAGATGGTGTATGAATCTGATCTTCATAAAATTTCTCAATTTTTAATCATGCAAAGTTTTAGAAAGGTGTATCAAATGCCTTCATAAATTTTCGTCAAATTTAAAAATGAAAATAAAAATAAACTACAGAAATCTTTACTGCAATTTAACGTATTTAACATATGTTGTGGCCAACGGGGTCTATTTCAGTGGAAAAATGCAAATCAATGGTCTCAAGTTCGAATCCCCATTATATTTTGACAGTGTGTGTGAGAAACCCCCTCCCTCAACATCACTAACTAGCATAAAAAAATTATAAACAAAAAAAAAAAAAAAAGTCTTAAGGTCTAAAATATCGATGGTTTCGGAAATATTGGTAGTCCAAAAACATGAAAATTTCTATGGAAATATCAAGACATTATCGATATCGATAAAAATTGAATAAAAACCATGGAAATTATAATAAAAACTTGGAAATTTTTCTTGAAACTTTGGAGGGTGTTTATTTATTCAATTATCTATTACTTTATCACAAAAAATTGAAAGGAAATGCATTGCATGATGGGTTTAACTGATTTAAGTTAATTATATAGTGAGCTGACAAACACTGTAAGTGTAGAAAATATGTAGTATTTAATGAAAGAAGATTAAAGACATCGTAATCATTTATTTATATTGATTCACTACAATATTACACTTTATACATTGCATGGTAAGATACATGAGTGACTTAGGCCTCGTTTGGGAGTGCTTCTTCCTGAAGCGCTTATACCAGTGACGCTTATGTCAGTAGCGCTTATGTAAGAAGCAGTTTATCGTTTGAATGTCACATTTAAAAGTGTTTTTACACTACATAAAAGAGCTTTTGATATTTTGTTGAGTGTTTGGCTGACACAGTGAAAACGCTTTTAAAAGTACTTTAAAAAAAAAAAATCAGACCGAGATCACTAATGGTACATGCAACTTCAAAATTTTGCAAAAGCCAATAAACAAACAATTGCACATTTACATGCTCAATCTGCTGATTGCAGCAAATCAATTTAGGCACAAATAAGAAGCTACAAACTTAAGGAGATAAATGATATTGAGACTCTAAACTCTAAACACTTTTGGAGGCAGCCCAGTTGTCCTATCTTCTACACAAAATCGTTAACCATATGATTGTGAATGTCAACAAGGTAAGAAAGGTTGACCACACCAACAACACTTGTAACTAATTGGTACCTCTTCCCATTTATAACAAGGAGTTCAATGCTAATTGAGTTCATAGCTGAATCTCCAATGGTGGGCAAGGATTTAAGGGAAGAGGAAGTCTGAGAAAAGAGGAAGGGATAATAAATATTGGAATTTGGAAGACGGGCAACTGATCAAGCAATGATGATTCAAATCTGAAAAAGAGAGAGAGAAAAAAGAAAGAAAGGATATTTTGGCATTTAAAAAAATTAAATATGGGTATTTTCGGTATTTTAAAAGTTTCATTAAAGGGAGTCAAGTGCTTCCTGTGTTTTTGTCTTGTAGCACTTTTAAGAATAAGCATCTTTCAAGTGCTTCTTCCAAAACTACTCCAAGTGCTTTTGGATCTCACTCAAAGCGTTTTTTCAATTTTTTTCAAACACTATTTTTAAAAGACAGAAACGTTTTCACCCATTTAGAAGCACTTTTCGCTGCTCCAAAAGCACTCCCTAACAAGCCCTTAGTATCACATAGAGTTCTTATAAGGTTCAAATTTGAGTTATTTACACTAACACCCCTAGAGGTTTTCTGTTTTTTTATAAAACTCCTTGAGGTTTTAGAAATTACAAGAACACCTCCTGAGGTTTTAAATTGTTTTCACAAAACTCATTTTCATTGATTTTTCATCCAAAGATTGATGATTTTATAATATAAAAATTATCCAAATGACAAAGTTGGCATTTGAGATTAAATTGCATATTCTTCATTAAGGTTAATTTTGTCATTTGTATATAAAAAAATTTCAATGAAATCATCAATTTTTGGACAAAAATCAACGAAAAGGGGTTTCGTGAAAAGAAACTGAAACCTTAGGAGGTGTTCATGTAATTTTTGAGATATGAGGGGATTTTGTGAAAACACAAGAAACCTCATGGGTGTTAGTATAAATAACTCTTCAAATTTTTCACAATCTTCATCATCTCGACATTATCGATTGTAGTGATATTATCGATATTGTAGCGATACTTTCGTCAAGAGGAATGCTAGCAATATTCTCTCTATCCTTCTATTTTAGACCTTCTCCATTTTTCTCTTGACATGTGTCACTTTCCTTGTACTTAAAAAAATGTCATTAATGTGTCATACAACCTAGTTTGTACTTTCTAAGTTTATCCTTATTAAATGTATTGATTTTTTTTTTTTGACAACTCTCTTACCACTTTGTTAAAAAAATTCAACAAAACACGCCAGTTTTTTTTTCTTCCAATGGGAACGTAACGTCATGTTTTTAAACACAACAAGTAGTTAAATGCTAAGGTAAGGAAAAGAAAACATAACAGTAGAAAATAAATATCAACAGCGGAAGATAAACATTACCAATATCAATTGACAAATAAAATTTGATTTTAAAAATAAGGAAATGATAGAATAGTTTATTAGCAACAATATATTCACGGTAATTATAAAGCGTCTGTTAAAACAAAAATTAGCATGTTAGCAACGTTTGTTTTCTTTGGAGAAAAAAATAATAATTTTATATTTAAAAAATTACGTTTTTTTTCTTATTATTTAGTGTTTTAACAAGGTGGAAACAAAGATGTAAAAAGGCTAGCTTGTTGTAAAAAAAAAAATCTCAATACATTTAATAAGGGTAAATTTGGAAAACGAAAATTAGCTTGTGTGATATATTAATGACATGATTTTAAGTGTAAGGAAAGTGACACATGTCAAGAAGAAAATAGAGAACGTCCAAAAGAGATGGTTGCTAGCATTCCCTTTTGGTCAAATGTTGTTAAAGTGTGAGAGAAATTATCGACATCGATATTTTTTGATATTATCGATATTTATACGATATGTATATGAATATGTTCTAAAATATTCTAGACCCAAAAAATATGTTCCAAAATATCTTAAACTCAAAAAGCGATAATATCCTTAATATTTTATCGATATTATCGATATTTTAGTCGTGAAGTCTTTTTCACAAAGTCAGTAACTCAAAGAAACGCGCGAAATCGGCCTAAAGACAGCCGCGCCTTACTAGTACAGTGAAGGGCGTGTTTGGCTGGATGATCTCGTGATTCCTCTGTTTTTTCTTTTTCACCTTTTACCATCATCATCCCTCTCTCTCCCTCTCTCGGAAAGTGAAAACTGAAAACACGCTGCACACTCTCTGCTCACTCTATAAATACTACTTCTCTCTTATCTCTGAGCCCACGCTTCCCTCTCTCTTTCTCCCTCTCCCTATCTCTCTTTCTCGGAGTTTTTGTCACTCTGTTTCTGGTGGAATACAGACACACAGAGCGGTTTTCTGACCTGGGTTTTGGTCAGGGAAAGTTGAAGAAACAAAGAGTGAGTTCTTTTGGGTCTCTTGCATACACCACAATGTCGGTTTTCAAAGATGAAGATCCTCGCATCCATGGCATTAAAACCAAAATTCGGGTCGTCCCCAATTTCCCCAAACCTGGTTTGTTCTTCTTTTTTCTCTCATCTAAAATTTGGCGCTATTTAAGTTTTTCGTTTTCGTTTTTAACTCAACAAGTTGTCTTAAAAAATGTTGTATCTTTGTCATGAAAACCTGATTATGTGGCCTGACTGAAGTGGGTTTTCATTTTTAGTGCAAAAAGTGATGGCCTTTGTGATAAAAATGAAAATTTTCATTTTTGGTTTCCTTTCATTTCCCCTCAATTTTTCATACCAAACAGTTGAAGTGATTGTTTATTCTTTTTTTCTTGTGGTTGTTCTGTCTTTCTCTGTTGGAAATTTGCTTATTTTGTTTTTGGTTCATGTCCTGCAACTGCCACACTGTGTAGGTATTATGTTCCAAGATATCACAACTTTATTGCTGGACCCAAAAGCCTTCAAGGACACAATCGATTTGTTCGTTGAGAGATACAAAGGCAAAAACATTTCAGTGGTTGCAGGTAAAAAAAAATGAAGAGAATTTATATATTTTTTTAAAAATTTATAATTCTCTTTTGTTAAGGACTAGTTGGAGAACTGGGGTTTAAAGATTTTGCGCATTTGAGCCAAAGGACCAAAGCTTTTAAAGAACTTTTTGTAACAGTGATTAGCTTGAAGGTGGTGGGTCCATGCTTACAAGAAAAGTAGGTCTGAGTGATGCAGAAATTCTCAATATTGCATAAGTTTCTCCTTGGTCCTTTTGAATGCTTCTAAGGGGAATTATGGAATGGAAGTCACACTGGGGTTTTGGGAGTGATTTTTTGTTTGACTATAAGCCTTGTTAGTGCGTTATGCCACTGATGGCTCTCTCTGAAGTTCTTTCCTCTATTCTCCTTTAAAAAAATTTCTCCAGCTCCTCGCATTTGCTCTCTCTCTCTCTCTCTCTCTCTCTCTCTCTCTCTCTCTTGCGGGTATGTGCTTGAGTCCAATTTGCGTGGATGGTGGTGGTTGGTGATGATGCCCACCTTGTTAAAAGTGGACCCCCATTTCAATTGGGCCGAATTTTTTGGCTTCATTATAATGTGGGTTTCCAACTTTACTGTTGGTTGACCCTTATTTATTTTCTCTTTATGTTGTTGCCCTTCCTTGTGTCCTTGAGTTGCTGTGCATTGTGGGAATTTATTATTGTGATGTAATTGTTTACTGTAATAGTTTTATGAATCTTTGCTGTCTTGGCTTGTGTTTGGCCTTTCAAAGATTGATAAAAGAACCATTGAAAGTTCCTTTTAAAATTAAGCTTCTTTTGTTTGGCCCTACTAGTTTTGAAAATATTACATTGTGGAAGATTATGAAGAAAATTAAGCTTTGTGTTTGTGGAGCTGGTAAAAGTCACATTTATGCCTCAAGGAATCTAATCGTGATTGACTTCATTAGAAATCGATTATATATTCACATGCTTTCCATTTCATTCATAACTTATAATAGGTATCCAAAAATACCACTTTAGGTCCTACACAGCTGAAAATTTAATTCCATTTCATTATTGATGGGCCTTGATTCTCAGTTATTATATTCATTTCCCAAATTATTTGGTCCAAAGTTGTTTATGTATGTTTTGTCTTGATGTGTGTACACTAGGATCTATCTATTTGTGCATTATGTGGACTTAAGATGTCTTCTTGTGTTAATGAAAGCCTTTATACCTATTTGGGAATCTACCTGCAAATTACACCCTGACATGGACAAGATGTGGTATTTCTTCTTGAAAAGAAAAGCATACCGTATCTATTGTTATTTTAATTGATGTTGTAGTTGATTTCTTATTTGTGCTTAGTTTTTCTATTAGAAGAACCAATATTTCCTAGTATTATGTTGCCCTCGATAACCATGGAAGCCAAGTCCTAGCCTTGATCATTAGACTCTGACATTAGACTTAAAGCATTGTTACTTTTCCATAGTTGTAGTCTTATGCTATATTAGAAATTGTAATTTGGAAGGATTTCTTTCATTATTGTCTCATAACATTTGATTCCATATTTCTTATGCATTGGGAATTATGCTCACAGTGCCGTTCTTTTAAAATTTCTTCTGTTCTTATAATAAACTTTTTTCCAACATCTTTCTTTATCCTTGAAAGTTTTTTAGCTGTTTCTGTGGAGCCAAGGACCTGAATATGGTAATCTTTTCTTTGAGTCAAGGACCTAAATACGCTTGGATTGGACCTTTATAGATATCATTGTATTCTGGTAGAAACTTAAAAACCTGACAATAAAATTGCGGTCCAACAGGTCGGGAAGCTCAATATGTTTGGACCATTGTCTAGAGATCATTGTATTCTAGTGGAAACTTAAATTAAATATCTGTCCTTTACTGTTTCTTTTGAGCTGAGTGTTGTACCAATGGGCTCAATAGGAGCCCACTACCTGTCCAAATCATGCACCGAGACTGTCCCCACCTTAACCACCAAGGAGAGAGAAGACCCAATGGACCTCTAGGTGCGGGGTTTTATCACAAAAGGTCTCATTGCAATTAGGAGTGGACCGCCTCTATTTAAACTGTGGATTATTGTTGTATTTTCCAATGTGGAACTTACACATGGCTTGTATCGAGCCACCTACACCCAACACTGGGGACCTAAATATACTTGGACCTTTTTATAGATGTCATTGTATACTAGTGGAAACTCAAACCTGACTATAAAATTGCAGTCCAACGGGTTGAGAACCTGAATTTGTTTGGACCATTGTCTAGAGATCATTGTATCCTAGTGGAACTTAAAAACCTGACATTAAAGATGCATTCAAATGGGTTTTTTACTTCCCATTCCCATTTTCATGTTAAAAGTGTTGCTATTTGTCTCCTTTCATGGCATTATGCTTGTGGATGGTACATTTAGAATTATTTGTGCTGGTACACTTTTATTGCTCTGGTAACAGAGTGATCGACACAGAAATTATGCTTGTTGTGGCCTTTTCTAAGTGAATAGTGATAACCCTGTATTGTTTGAAGTCTCAAGTTCTATGTGGTAGTAGAAAACATTTCTGTAGCCCTTATGGTGTTCTGAAATCTGAGGTTTCGTTTTCGTTTATTTCAGGAATTGAGGCTCGAGGTTTTATCTTTGGCCCTCCCATTGCATTGGCAATAGGAGCAAAGTTTGTTCCCCTGAGAAAGCCAAGGAAGTTGCCTGGTAATTTTTATCCTTTAGATATTTTGTCTACATCTCTTGGTATGACTGACTGTATGTGAACATATTTGTCCTATTATGTATAGTATATTCATATTACAGTTGGTCAATATAGCAAAGGTTGTGATGGTCTGCAGTAAAAGTTATCTTCAAACAGTAATCGCATATGACATTCGGATGCCACATACTGACTTGCTGATCAAGTACAAGACAGTTCTGCTTGATTGGCATATTATAGACCGCCATTTCAAGGGATATTATTTCTCCAGTGTATCCTTTGTGTAAAAGAGGATGTAATTATAACGCCAATGAATTGGACCCTTGATGAATGATGGCTTGAAGACACTGCTTGGAAGTTGGAACTGCCTTGATATGAACTATGAGTCCTTGATAATTTATGATGTTCCATGCTTCTAGTGTGGTTTTGTTGTCCAATTCTGGCTTTAAAATATATATCTGGTTCTGTCCTCTCCAGTCCTTGCATGTCTTCCACCATGCCGTATTTATATAGGGATTATTTCTTCAGTGAACTACAGAGCTATGTGTTTTTGTTGTTTTTTTTAGGGCTGTATACGGTCTAGATAGTATATGATGCTCGTGATACTTCGGAACTTATATTTTTAACTTTTAATGTTCTAATATCTGACATGCAGTTATGTGCCTTGGGAACCACATTTGAGAGGGCTGTCTTACGTATAGTTTTGAATCTCTTTTTCCTCTTGAGATTTTTAAGTCTCATCTTTGAAGTTGTGGCTAGTCATAGGATTGCTGAAAAACTTTTCCATGGTGGCAGGAGATGTTATTTTTGAAGAGTACACTTTGGAATATGGAAGGGACCGTCTTGAGATGCATGTTGGAGCAGTAGAACTTGGTGAGCGAGCTCTGGTGGTTGATGATTTAATAGCCACAGGAGGCACACTCTGTGCTGCAATGAATTTATTGGGTAATTACTTTGTTTTAGTATTATAAACAAGTTGTTGGTTAAAATATTGGAAGAATTGATGTTTTATATGGGACTAGTCACCGGTGCATCCATTGGTGATCTGTGTCAAGTTCATATTTCAGTTCAGATGTCCAAGCTGTGCTCAAATTAAGTTTCTATTCTGTTTTTTTGTTTCAAATGTTTGGCTTTTTTCTTGAAAAGCATAATTTTCATTTAGTACTGTGTTGGTTCATGATATTTTGCTCAGTTAGAACTTAGAAGTGGTCAGTCTAAATTCTGAGAAAACTTATTGAATTGCAGTCTTTTGATTCTTTGAAGTTCTATTTTGTCATCTAGGTTATTAAGTATGCATGTTATATTAGTCAAAATTCTCTTTGGTTTAATCAACTAATTGTTGTATTAAATTTGGGGGCAGGATTTCTGGATTGCTTGCTTTGTTCCTTGGCAAATTTCAACATACTTTAAATTTGTGGATGCTTGTAAGACCTTAGTGCTGATTTGGTAAAATTAAATGTTTCCTCTCAGAACGTGTTGGAGCAGAAGTAGTTGAATGTGCATGCGTAATTGAATTACCAGATTTACAGGTGAGTTGGTTTAGCTCTCGGCTTTCCTCAGTTTTATGATTACAATATGAAAGAAAGAACCCTATGGCCCTTCTGCATTGCTATGTTTTGTGTCACCATTGCCAATGACTATATGTTTCCCGATGTTGCAGGGTCGTGTGCGATTGAACGGCAAGCCATTGTATGTACTAGTTGAATACCACTGATCCTGGCAAAAGACTATATGATTCATCTGTGTTGGTGCTGCATTAGGAACATGCACATTGTGGGCTACTCCCATATCCGGAATCTGATTTGATTCACCCTGGCCATTCCCTTTTCCCCGTTTCAATGATTAATGATATTTGATAAACCTTGGTTGCTGAGACCCTTCATTTTAGCTAGTACTAGTAGAGCATAGAGCATTGAATTATGGAAACCGTTCGATATGAGAAAACTTCTGCAGGACTCATTTTCTTTGTTTTTCCATGAACTCAATTTTATGTAACCCCCTCATTTTGTTTCTCTCAGTTCAGAGCCGTATATATAGGCATTGTTTCTTGGTGATTCTTGCACTTGAAGCAAACTTGAAATCTGAGTGGGTAAGCTAGATGGAGTTTGGCCTTGATTTGAGAATTTATGATCAAACTCAGGTTGAGGTTCATACAAGTTCAACATTTCTGAATTCCCAATCCTGCTGTAGTAATGTCGTTAGCTTGATCCGTCATTCATCACTTGATCAAAAGTTGTTGTGTTCAACTTTGTATGAACTGAGCATGTTTTCTCATGGGCCACCTAAAATAAGTGGTCTCAAGAAAACAAATATGTCATCATGGCCCAATGCAAATAGGAACACCCTGGTCCAAGTCAAATTACATCAAGGCAAATTTTCATTTGTTTTTTGCTCTCTTCCATAGAGAATCTTTTCAACTCTTTTGAATACAGAATCAATGTGTTTTGGTAGAATATTTTATTTTGCTTGACTCTGAAAACATACGTAAGGATGGGGGCAAGAGAGTTTTTTGGTAAGTAGAATTAAATTTTATAGGTCACAAGGTTTACATCATAGATTGTGACCATACACCACCCTTGTCAAGCCTTTCATTTTCTCCTAAGACAAGTATTGTTTTAGCAGCAGTTGCGTGACTTGCGCTGTACTTTGCCAAATTAACCAAAAGCTTGAGCAGTTGAGAAGGACATCTACGGACCCAAGAAACCCTACTGACTTCTACTGATCATCCTAAATTTCTTTTATTGGATTTCTCTTCATCCTTCAACAACACCACCAAATGTAAAGCCTCTTACCAAATAACAGAAATTTAAAACCTAACAACACAGCTACCACTTCTTCTAATGGAATAAAAACACATCTATGCTTTTCATTTGCTTGTCGTTTCAGTTTCTAACATATTTAATCAAATCTGGAAAATTCTGGTGTCGACATTAAGTGTTTGCTTATAGGTGCAGTGAGATTTCTATCTTTACAATCCTACTGAAAAAATATCATATGCGCCGTATATATATAATAGCCTCTCTCTTAGCAGGGGCAGCCCTGGGGTGGTGCAAGTGGCGCCACCGCACAGGGCCCCAAGTAGTATATGCATCCTCTAAACACTTTCTACTCCTCCCCTTTTTTTTCTTTAAAATAAAAAAAACTTTCTCCATCAAGAAAAGTGCTCTCTTCATTCAAAACAAAACAAAAAAAACTTCATAGTTTCTTCTAATTATCTAGTAAGTAATCATCATCATTCATCAATCTCTCTTTGGTTCTTTTCCAATCCTTTGACAATTTTTGTTATTTTTTCAATTTTAGGAATTTTAACACCAACAAAAGAAAACCCTAATTCCTAAATTCATAAAGATCACTCAAAATCAAATAGTCAGTTTCAAATCTCAATTAAAATTCAAGTATGTATCTAAATTTCAATCTATTCTATATATTACATGACTTATTTTATTAAATTATTATCATGTTGATGATTAGTTATATGAGAATATAGTTTTTAGAATTATTTATCTATTTCTTGCTGGGGTTTTCTTCTAGGTTATAGGGTTTTGGATTTTTTTCTTTGTTAATGACATTTGTGTGCAACTACTCATTAATTTGTGATTGCCATTTTTTTTTTCCTATTAAACACAGATTGCTTTTCGGAGGCAGCAGGAGACTTTATAGGGGCACAATGAGCTTATTATTTTTGTACCAAACATACTAATATTTAACTTTATCAAATGGAAACATTTAAATTTTTATGAATTTGATTTCAGATTGTCATTACATGTTTGTTGATAGTGACTTTTAGTTATAAAAAAATTGTTTATGACATTAAGTTATGACAAATTTTTATTTATAATATTTTCGTATTAGATTACACGAGGCCCAATTTAAGTTTTGCACAAGGCCCTCAAAATCTCAGGGACGACCCTGTCTCTTAGGATGTGTATGTAGAATACATAGCATGTTGAGACTTGCATGCATGTTGCTGGTGAATATGTTTTCCACTGACTTAGGGCCGTTTGATAGTCATTTCTATTTTTAGTTTTAATTTTTTTTTTAAACTAACTAAAAACTTGTTTGGTAACTAATTTTAGTTTTCACCACCAAAACAAAAAAACTAAAAAACTAAAAAACAAAAACTGAAAACTAAACAAAGTTGTTTAGTAACTGATTTTAGTTTTTAGTTTTATATTTTATGTAAAACATGGAAATGAAATTTTTTGGGGTCAAGTTGTGAATTTGAGATCATAAAATGAAAGCACATGTTACAAAGAGTTCGTAGTATTTTTTAGTGAATTTTTTGGAATTAGGATGATTCTTTTGGTGAATTTTGGATCTGGAGGTCCTGAGGCTTGGGCTAGGTCCACAGACAAACGCAAGAATCAAGTGGCCGGGTCCAATCCGAAGGTCCCAAATACTGAATTTTGGTAGTTGGAGTGCATTTCATGTGCGGTGATGTAAAATTAGTGAATGAAAAATGTGCACAAATAAAAATGAAAACACTTTCAAGTTGTTTTAAAAAGTAAGGGTGATTCTGAAAACTAGATTTCACTTTTTCTAAAACTTAAAACAAAATATATTACCAAACATGTTTTCAGTTTTCAATTTTTAAAAGAAGTGAAAATGAAATTTTTATCAAACAATCTCTTAAGTTATCTAGTTTTGATTTGTAATAAGACAATAAAATTTTGAAAGCAATATAAAATTATAATTGCTCAGATTTTTTTTTATTATGCGAAAAATAAAATTACAAGACAAAACTTCTAGTGCTTGTTTGGTTCGCAGATTGAACTTCCCATGTCTAATCCCATGATATGGGAATGGAGGATGTTCATTCCCAAATTTCAAAACATTGGGAAATGATGATGAGGAAAGGCCATTTTATCCCATTCTCATTTTTTATTTGTGCATTATTTGGAATGAAAAATTGTTCAATTTTCCAACAATACACTTAAACTTTTTTTTTTATTACAAAGAAAAAAATATAAAGAGTTTTTCTAAGGGTAAAACATGGTATTTTAAAAATAGAATATGGGTAAGTTAGTCATAAAAATTGGCATTAAATGCTTTCTCAAGTGGGGGGAAAAATTTTCCCAAGCTCAGCCAAGGTTATGAAATTCCCCCTACATGGGAAGTCCATACCTATGAGTCCATAATTGCATTCTTAAGAGCATTTCCAAGGGAAATGTCAAATATCAAACATCAAATTTTAATTTGATGGCTGATGTGGCAATTTGACATTTTACACAGCTTTACACTCTACTCAATATATCAAATTAAATTATTACTTTATTACATTTTAGTGTTGATTCATTTTTAATTAATAAGAAAAGAAAAGAAAAAATAATAAAATATTCATTTGACATCTTGCTTTTGGGATGTCAAAAATAACATCTTAACCTACAGCCTTCATTCCACATCAGCTTTGACATATCGGTTGGAGTGATGTGAGATATTATTTTTAGCTGTTAAATGTCTATGTGGCACATTAGACACATCAGTTGGAGATGCTCTAAGAGTGCACTTGCCAAACATGATAATACAATTTCAAACTCATTCCCAAGTTCCTAAACCTTGAACTAAACGGGGCCTCTAGAGCATGTAGCCCAAAGAGGTCAAAATTGCTCAAATACTTAGCTAGTTTGAGGAACCACCAAGTTTTCTTATTGATGTTTTATTTAGGGTGGTGATTGATTTTCCCACTCCCCTTTTGTCCACTTACTCCCTTTTATTTTTTTAATAGTTTTTACTATAACAAAAAAATGGAGTGTAAGTGAACAAAAAAAGAGTGGGAACATACAATTTATAACAAAGAGAGTGTAAGTGGACAAAATAAGAGTGGGAAAATCAGCTCCCTTTGGATTGTAATAAGTAGTTTTTATGGGCATGATTTTAGGGGGATTTGTGAGAAGGGGGGAGGAGGGGTGGTTGGGTGCTCTAATGGAGGCAAGGGTAGGCTACTTATTTTGTCTGACGACCATTGTGGGGGAGGGGGGGTTGGGTGCTCTAATGGATGCAGTAGGCTACTTATGTTGTTTGACGACCATACGCTCATTTGTTGTAGACAAACTCCCCTAATCCTCTAGGATATAGCCCAACTTTTTGCATTTGTTTCATACCTCATAATCAATCGAATCCTATCGCTTTTATGTTTAAAAAAAAAAAAAAAAAAACCACTTAGTTCTGAAGTTGTAATCAGTTATATGTTATAAGATGCCCTTGAATAGGATAGCATCTTTATTTAAAATAAAATAAAATAAAATAGAGACTGATCTAATTTGCTAAGTTTTGAATGCATGCTTTGTCTATAATCATTACCAATGAATTTGGATTAGAATATAACATTGTTAGAGTATTCCCAACTAACTTGTTATTATGAAATCTTCTTCTCTAAATATAAGTGTTTCTTGAAGTAGATATTGTAAATTTATGGATGACAATTGTAATTATGTCTAATGAAAAATTTATTACTGAAATTTTTTATGAATATTGTGAGTCAAAAAAAATTATATGATTATAAGTTACATTCCTAGAGCAGATTTCCATTGCCATAAGTACATATATTTTGGGAGCAGATTGCCATCATAATTAGAAGAAAAATTTTATTGTTTACTAGTGCAAGTAACACCCTATAGTCCATAAGCATCATCATTATGTTTCTTGGTGACTGTTATAAGACTAGATTAAGTGCTCACTCTATACTTTGCCATAGAGTTAAAATTACGTGTAAATGAATTATTGCACAAGTATTTAAGTTTCGATAACCTTCTTTCCCAATATCGTTTTGCATTTTTCTTTTTTCAAAGAAAGCCAATTTTCAACTATTCTTAAAATTTGGAAAACATTTTGATGATTATATTGTTATTTTGAATTGTGATTAACATCATTTCATGGTAGATAGGGGTTGGGCTACAATTTGCTCGTCCCTTGCACCAAAGTTCAAATTTCCTCATCATAGATTAGAAAATCATTTTACTAACATTATTACCAAACAAACTAAAAAATAATAACCTAACATGTGAGAGCTCTCTAGTGAAATTTTGAATGACTTAACGGAATAAAACCTATTAATTCCATAAATGAAATAGTTAAACTGAGATGTAGCATTAATATAAAAACGGCAAATTGGTTAATTAAGCATTTATCAACTCAATTTTTTTTTTCAATAATCAGACCAAAATATCCAAAAAAACAAAAGAAGAAAAAAAAATTGAGTTGATAAATGCAAGAACAAGATGTGATCAAAACCTCACAAAATTATATAACATGACAAATTTTAAAAATTAAAAAAAAAAAAAAAAAAAAAAAGGGAAAAAAGGATGAAAGAAACATTGTATTTTACAGTTTATAGATGATAAGAAAGCAAGGCAACACCGCGCGTGAGTCAAACACCAGCAACTCGCCGTTGTCCCCACTCACCGAGTCGAACCCGAACCCGACCCGGCCATCTAACAACGACTCGAGCTCCAGCTGCTTCGAGACCCGACCCGCAACGACCCGGCAAACCAGCATCGCCCTCCGGCCCCTGGAACCACCCGCACCCGCATTCTCGTGGGCCACGCCGCTACCAGAGAACGTGCAAATCGCTTTGCCCTTGCCTCCGTGAAACCCCCACGCGCTGCCGCACGTGTCGTAGACTCCGAAGCCCGAGGTGGTGGGCCCCAGGCAGTGGAACCGCATGACCTCGTTTCCGTCAGCGACGCACCGCACATTCTCCTCCTCACACTGGGCGCCGCCTTTGGACCCGGCCCGGCACCGCGCCTTCACACTCTCCCTATACTCCTCGAACCGGGCAACGGTCTTCGACCCGTTCTGCACCTTGAATATCATGTCGATCCGACCCGAAAACGCCTTGGGGCTCCAGCTGGTGTGGAAGATAATCTCCACGACGTTGCGCGAAGGGTGGCCTTCCGGGAGCTCGGTCAGGGCCGGCAGAAACGGGTCGTGGGGTCGCGTGGGTCGGGTTCGGGTTTGCTGACCCGGGCTTGAATCGGATTCCGGTTTGGTGGGTCGTTGGGCTTTTGGGTTGGGTCGTTTGGATGGCGGAGGTGGTGGGCCCGGCGGCAGCGGCTTGAGCTTTCTGGGCTTGTAGTGTTTTGTGGTGTCGATGACGTCTTTGATATTCTGAACGCTTTGTCTGCAACTCGCGCTGTTCATGAGATTTTTCGGGGTCGGGTGGTAAACGTCTTCGAATGCTCTGGATTTGCACTGCAACGACTTCACCCACCCACTCGCCATTATTGTACGGAAATCAAAACTACACCGTGCTGTGTTTTCTGGGTTTGTTTGTTCAGAGCTCAGCTTTCTTTTTCTTCTCTGTTTCTGGTTTTCTTCATTTGTCTTGGGAGAAAAGAAAAGAATGAAATGGAGGAGGAGGAAGAGAGAGATATGGCGCGTTTATTAAGTGGGAGGAGGGGGGTTTCTAACTTTCAACCGGATACGTGACCGGGTGTGAAATGACTGGACTACCCTTCTGAGGAGTTTGGAATTACCCACGTGGATTTCTCAGTGTCTTCATGAGAGAGGAAGCATGCTGCTCAAAGAAAACAAATGTCACCATAAATGGGTTTAATTTGATGGGACAAAACAGGGAGGTCGAGAGAGATGTGTCCGGTTACTCTGCTTCTTGTGGTATTTGAATTTTATGTGGGAGATGGGAGTTTGGTGGACGTACATGATTAATTAGCTTTGCATTTGGTTGGGGTTACATTTGGTCATCTCCTTCGTCATGATCTCGATTCTCTTTTCTTCTTCTTTTTTCATAATTTATTGCTTTTTATTTAGCTTACCTGTGGAATGAGAGGTTTAAAACCTAATTAAGTGCTTTTATTTTTCGCCGTTTGAAAACATTTAAATGTGTTGTTTGCTCATTTCTAATCACATTGTATCGGATTCAACTTTTATTTTTGTTTTATCATCAGTGTTTAAACTAGTGGTAGTTTTGTCCACCTAGTTGAACTAGGTCTTCTATTCGACTCACATGAACACGAATATGATACCTGATTTAGTATCAGTTTGTCAAAGTCGAAATGTGGATGGGTATAAAACAATTCAAAAACCTCTCTATTTTCCCATCTTTTTGGCCCTCTCTCTCTCTCTCTCCATGATTTTGAAAATAGAAATGCAGTGCACTAGACTGCTCTATTACAATGATGACCTTGAAAGAAACTACTACTCAAATCTAAACCTTTGGTAAAAGCAAAATATATTTCTTCTTTTTTCTCTTTCCTTCTGAAATTTGAATTATAGTCACTAATAAAGAAGTGGATGATAATCAGTTGCAAACCCATCAAGTTAATTAGTATCAATGACCCAACTGATCCCCAGAAACAGGGACTTTATTTGCATTCATTTGAAAATACACATTTAGTTGGTAAGTACCTAATCTAGTCTAGTCCTTTTCTAATAAAGGCTTTCTTGCTCTGACATATCTAACCCTCAGATAGCTTTATGACTTTCTTGCACCTTGAAAATCAAAGAAATAATAACCATTTCACATTTCTTGGTGGGGTTTCTGAACCCTAAATTTTCCTTCCCTTGGTTTTTTTCTCTCCCTATTTACACTTGCAGACAAAGGGCTCATCAGGACGAAAAATAAAATAAATCTTGTACTGTTTCAAGAATTATAACTAGAGCGCTTGATTGAAGGATTAATTTATGCCATATATGCAGATATGGACATTGCCAAGTTGGTTAGCAGATGTGCTCCCCACTCTCCAACCCGAGTTTGAATCCCTTTATTTGTAATTTAGATTAGTTTAAAATATATTATCGCCTGTATAAAAATGTTAATTAAGGATACTCATAGTTGGCATAGTATATATATAGAGTACAATTTTTTTTAAAATTATAATTGATCATTGATTTGAAGATGCAAGTTGCAAAGAGATTATTGTATCATTTTAATATATTTTCCAAATTCCATATTGTAAAAGAGTAAGGGGGACAGAATGAGGTGGAATCTTTTATAGGAGTTTGAAGTGCGATAGATAAATATAGGTGGGAATAGAATAGAAGAATAGAAACTAGAAAGAGAATGGAAACTGGCAGAGAGTGCATCTAAAAAAGCCCTGAAATTTAAACTAGTAAAACGACAACTTCTCCACTAGTTTTTTTATTTATTTATCTTTTTTGTACTGTAGCTATAGGTAACCCGTTGGCAAATTAGGCACTAATTAAGTTGGGGTTTTGCACAAAGTTTTGTGCTCATTGGGATAATGGCCTTTTGTAGCTACACAAGGAGACAATTTTACTGAGATAATCAAAGCTTAATCAACTAAAACATGATTAAATTAAGGCATCCCAAACACCAAATGGTCCAAAAACCTTGAGAAATCGTGAATTATGGACGACCCATTTGGGCAAAATGGGCAAAATTCAAATTAAACTCATCTTCTTTGTGCTTTTTATGATATGGTGATTATGAGATTCTGTATGGTGTGTTATTAGTTAAAAGAAGTGCATGGTTTAGGAGTGCAAAAAGCAAACCATATGGTTGTGGAGTTTTGACAGCCTTTGCTCTCACGCCTGTTTTTGAAGCCATCCCCGGGAACTGCGTTATATCCAAAGCGTGCTGTATTTGGTTTGGAGTTGGACCTCCAAAATTTCCATTTTTTTTTTTCTATTTTGGTTTGCTATCTTTCAAATTAGGTTTAGATTTTAGTGTTTTATTTTTCATCATATTTATCGGGAAGTTAATATGATAGTAGATTCCTTAGTCAATAAGGGAAATTATACTGATAGGGTCTTCACATCCTATTTGGTTTCAAATCCGTCGCGAATCTTCTTCGTGTGAATATTAGTTAAAGAGTTAACTTTGATTCACATGGTCTTTAGATCCGTCGTAAATTTTCTTTGTAATACTTTTTTCTTTAAAAAAACACACATTTTAGGGTTTTATACGGTTGAGTCCTCTTGTTTAATAAGCAAGAAAAAAAAAACATAAAAGCTTCTTCTTACTACAAAGCTAAGCAAGGTATGGAGGTAGGTGACACAATTTATGGAGAGTTATCAACAAGAGGAAGCAAAGAGAGTTCTATGGAGAAAGAAGCAATGATGAGAGCAAAAGAAAATAATAAAAGGAAAAGGGAAGACCTTGGCTTTTCAAAGGGAGGTGTGCCTTTCTCTTACCCTAATTAAGGGTTTTAATGGCATATCTTTTGACCAAACTTTGGGTCATGGAAACATCAATGCGATGTTGTGGTTTTGGAGATTAAAAAAAAACCCATCTCTCCTGAATCTCTCCTTGCTTTATTTAATACATGCACAAATTCTTATACACCTTGATCTCGAACATCATTTAAATCTCCCATCAATGCAGCTTGGGAATGGGACTTGTCCCATTGGCATCCTATTTCTCAAGAACTATACATGTCAAAACCTTTTATATCCAAATGTACACTAGAGACTTCTTAGCGCATTTGACCCACCTCACCCCACTCACAATCTTTTGATCTCTTCAATCATTATGTATTAGGCTATATATTTTGCCATGATGCAGGTTATAATTGCTTCGCCTAAACCAATCAGAAGTTTTATTTAACTAATCTAGAATTCAAAATGATAAAAATTAGGACAGTGGGTAAGGCCAGGATGATGATGATGATGATGCAGGTTCACAACTACACAATGTCGGGTGGAGAGTGATTCTCGGATCATTATTGAATCAAACAAATGCAACATTTTGGCTTGGAGTTGGGCTGCCCTAGAGCCAACAAGAGCTTTGAGAAATGGATGAAATATGATCAGATAAGCATTGTCGGTAATTAAGGATGGCACAGAGAGAGAGAGAGAGAGAGGGTTTGGTTTGGACACAGAATTTGGTGGTCCTGTCTATGGCCTGCTGTTGGAGATTTAACTTCCTTGATATTCACCTTTGATCTGCCTTCAATTGCCAATGTGTTGGATTTTTCTGATGGTTGAGATCTAGACAAAGACTTGCCCGTGAGCCTTGAAAATGGCCTCAGCTTGCCAATCTTGTATGGACATGGACTTGGCCTTACGTACTCACTCATGACCTATCACTTGTAAAATATTCAACTTGTTGAATATGACTGAGGATTCTTCTCTTGGGTACTTGTTTTCAAGTAGTATGGTTGATTGGTTAAGTTGGTGAGTGTTGTATTTCTACTCACCCAAGAACCTCATACACTGTTAATAAGCTATTGCAAATAATAACGTATATTTGGGATATGGGACATAACATGGGAGTTGCTCACTCGGCGTGAATAAATGAGGTTCAAAGTGAACTCAAATATAAACAAAAATGAAATGATGTTATATCATCTGGAATTTAAAATAGTATAATATATGAATTGATGTCATTAGAATTTTATATTATTTGCGCTCGTATGAAGTAGCGTACAAATAAGAATGAGTTAGCGCTAGTCTTCTCTAGTTTAGGTTTTAAGATGATTAAATTCTCCTTGAATTTTGCCTCTCTTGTTTGTTGCTCCCATATTCAAAGTGAGGAAGTGTCCTTTCTCAAAGACTCAGAATCATTCGATGCACAATCATTGGCTTCAAAGGCCATTACTATGAAGCCAGAAATAAAAAAAAAACCTACGAATAATGTTCATTGCACGATTTTGTGTGCATACAAATTATGTGTATATTTAAACATTTGCTAAAAGCCTAACGAGACATTATGCCATCCAGCTATAACATTGTTTTTAGTTGAAGTCTAAAATAGAATAATAGGTTTCAAGTCAAAGTCCAATGGGAAAAAGAAGATGGCCAATTTGCAGACATCCATAAACATAGGGACTATAGCATTAACATGGGCGCATGTATATATATATATATATAAATTATTCTATGCAAATATTTGGATGTTATTATCGTGCACTGTCATGTATTTTGTACTACCCCTTCTTGATTTCCTGCCTCTTTATAATAGCATCCGCATGATAACAACGTGTAGACATCCGAATAGGTACTGCACATGATTAAAGCTCAATAATTAACCTTTATAGAATTCTATGTGCTGCAATTTTTCCATATTTTAATGTCACTTTTGGCCTATCAGCTTCTCCAGTTCTCCATAATTAGGGTGAAATTATCATGCAATAGATTTTAAAACTATTACTCTTCCAAAATCCTAACCATTATTGATTCATTTTTTGTATTGTTTTATCCCAATTGATAAATAATTTGAATTGGTTCCTTCTTCACGATGACAAAAATTATGATTGCATCTTTCTCCTACTATGGAAGTTATTATTTCATTACCAGTTTTCCTGGTGTCTTGCATTTTTTCCGATGTCTTTCAAAAATGCAAAATCCTACGAGTGCACGGGCAGGCAGCAGTAATATTGGCCTATGGACTCCAGATGGATCATCAGTGGCCTGGTCAAGATTTTGGTCCATGTTGTGACCATGGGCCTGGCCATGGAAAAATGAAACCGGGGTCAAATAAGCAAGTGATCTCGGGAAACCGACATTGAACCGCCGTATATTAGAGGCTCTTTGGTTTGATGAACTCGCCTAATTTTGAATTTTAAAAATCGATGAGAGAATCGGTTCGGTTTATCATCGATTTTGACAACAACAAAAAACCGTACCAAATCGGGTATGTCAGTTCGATTCAATCAGTTTTAACGAGTTAAGTGCCTAATCGAAACGAGTTAATGTTAGCCATACCGAGATAAGGTCAACTGACCCAATCCACGTTTCATTAATGAGACAACAATCATTCATGATTGACTATAACTTTATCTAGGAGAGTGCTAATGGTATGCGAAGAAATATCATTAAATCAATAACTAGTTGGTTTTTTGTTTTTCATTTTTTAATACAAGCGATAGTCTAAATTATAAGGGAGAGTGTGATTTCTCACACACACACACATGCTACTAAGCTATCACAGGCTGGGATTCGAAATTGAAACTACTAGTCTATAAGTCAATATCATTTTTATTGGGTTGGACCCATTGGTTACTTGTAAAAGATTTTGGTTCAATTCAGACAGTCTAGCGGGCCATGATGGATCCAAGTGACACTGATCCGTAATCCTTCCACGGCCAAGAGCGGGAGGTAGTTGTTACTTTGTGAAGCCAACCTTATGCGGTTCCCTCCACTTTAGAAACTCTGTGACCCAGAGCCTTCGCTCGAGCCACAAGGTTCAACTCTTGGCTTGGAATGGCGGGCCAATAGATAGCCATCCCAAACCCAACCCGCTAATACTGGGCCAATGTTCTAGCACCTCAAAGCCAATGTTTATTTGTAAAAATTAATTTTCAGTCACCTAAATGTTTTTCTGTGGGCCATGACTTCAGAAAAGAACCTTCTTTAAATCCATATCTGGGCCGCCAAACTCCACATTTAAATAACCGTTGGTTTGTTCTCAACTGTCAAAACCCAACGGCCTTCCATCTCACATACTGACTGAGACTACAGCAATGGAGCCATCGCCGCCACCCAAATCCAAGAGCACCACCACACCGCCGCCGCCTCCGCCGCCACTCCTCCGCCGCTTAGTAACTCTCGACCCGACGCCCTCCCCACCCCTCCCTCTCCCCCATCTACATGTCCTCGCCAAACCTTTCCTTCCCCACTTCATCCTTCTCCTCCTCGAAATCTCCGCCGACTTCCGCTTCTTCTTTCCCCTCTCCCTCTCCCTCCTCGTCGCCCCAACCCTAACCCTAACCCCATCCCCAATCCAAATCCCAGGCCCAGGCACAAGCCTAAGCCCAATTCAAATCCTTCGCCCTCTCCTCTCCCAGCTCATCCTCGGCCTCCTCCTCGACCTCGCCCTCATCGGCCTAATCAAGCTCCTCTTCCGCCGCGCCCGCCCTCTCTACAACAAGAACATGAACGTCGCCGTTTCGGTCGACCACTTCTCCTTCCCCAGCGGACACGCCTCCAGGGTCTGCTTCGTCGCCGCCCTTCTCCACCTCTCCGCCGCAGCCCTCGCCGATGCCCTCGCGCTCCTCCGGCCAACGTCTCCGTTCATTGACCGCTGGATCGGCGCGGACCCGGTCAGCGCCATTAGTGTTTTGGTCTTGGTTGCTTGGACCTGGGCCTACGCCACCTCCTTCTCTAGGATTGTGCTGGGCAGGCATTTCGTCACCGACGTTTGTGCTGGGGCGTGTTTGGGCATGTTTGAGGGTCTCGTTGCGTTTCGCTTCCTCAGATTTTAAGGTATGAACGCTGAATGTTCCCGCAAGTTTTGTTCATTTATTAATAGGAGTCAATATTCGATGCGCAATTAGACATTTATTTGAATGAGTTTGGAATTGGAGATCATGATTTACTGGCAAGATTGGAGCTTCCTTCAAAGTTTGATGCATCCAGAAAATGGTATAACGTTGAAGATTGAGTTGATAGTGTTAAAATTTTGGAGCTAAAAGTTAACAAATTTGGTTATAGTTCAAAACTTGATAAAACTTAAATTGGGTACATACTACTGAATAAAAGGTTTAGTGACATGGGTTTATTAGCAATGGTAGTGGTATTGATAATTATGGAATTTCGAATTGTTACTACTGAGTAACATTACAAATGCATAAATTTTAGAACTAGAATAATAGAAGTTAAGCAAAAATTTTGGTTAATAATTTTAGTGAGGCATTCTAATGAAAAGTCCAGTTTGTGAGATGTTTTTGAATACATGTTTGGTGATATGGTGGTGGTGGTGATGTTAGTGATGGAGCTAGTAAAGGTTCTGTGGTGCCTGTGTCAATGTCTATTTCCAGCATGGTTAGGTTGGCAATGCTAGTTCAGTAGTGGTGGTCATGGCAATACTAGTGGGCTGGGCATAATAATGATGGTGCATGACAATGGTGATAGTTGTGATACAGTGGTTGTGATGGTTGCAAGTATTGTGGTATGAGGGTGGTGGTGCCTATGTCAATGTTTATTTCCAGCATGGTTCTGTTGTCAGTGTTGATAATGACATAGTTCTGTTGGTGACATTGGTATCGACGACGCTGGCATTGATGGCAGTGGTAGTATTAGAGCCACTTCCATGGCAGCGCGACGACAATATTTATATGTATAGCACCCTTGTATCTAGTTCAGTTTGACCTGTTTATAGAACCTTGTATCAAGTTGGCCAATTTTTCTACCCAAGCTTTTGAATGAGTTTAGGGAGGGAGGGAGGGTTCACTCGCTTACTTTCACCTTTTAGCAACACTAGTTGGACTGCATGTGGTACCATTGTTATAAAATAACAGATCATATCAAAATGGTAAAGGTAAAACTTAAAACAGATTCAGGTTCAGTCCCTTTCTAGTTCTATATCCTAATGAGGCGTGGCTATGCAGACCATATCAAAACTGTAGGTAAAAATTATCAAGTCGTTCAAGTTCAATGTATTCACTAATATAAAAGCATGCAAATTCTACTTTCTATAGCTCCGACTTATTTATTTTTCCAATCTGGAGTACTTGGTAATGTTCCTTGTAAATAGAAAGCAGCATATCAGCCTCCTTGTTTTTTATAACCCAAAAAAAAAAAAAAAAAAAAAAGTAAGGTAAAAAGAAGAGAAACATTGGATTTATTGCCTTTCGTATGCGTTGCTTGTCATCCTCCCCATAATTTTGAAGGCTCCTACACATTACTTGTATGGCAACTCCCATACCAGTACTATAATTTTGCGGGTTGTGTCTTCATTACTCAAACAATTGTAAGGCATGGGATTTGTGGATAAAGAAGTCATTTTTGCATCTATTGTGATATAGAAAGTTGACAACCCATTTGGACTCTTCATCTTTTTATTATGAGAAACCAGCCCCATTTCTACCCAAGCAAAAGCCCCATTAAACAAGTTAAAAATGCGAGGACAACACAGACTTTCAATGAAGCTTCCATTTGATAATAAGAAACCCACACTGCCTAAAGAAATATCACATTCTCTTTCAATCTCTTGTCGCAATTTGACAGTGATCAATTTTTGTATAAAAAAGAAAATTTCACAAGCTAAGGTTGCTGCTATCTAGAATGGAAATGTAACTGACAATCTCATGATGGGTAGAGCAATATGCCTCTTGTATTATGTAGTATACATATTGGAAATTGCTGTATTTTCTTTCTCCCCAGCTCCCCCACCCCAAAGAAAAAATATAATGTGGTTTGTTTATGCCTCTGGGACTTGAATGTTATGCCCTGGTTTAGGGGCTTGAGACCTAATATGTCATGATTACGAATGAAAATGTATGGAGGGAATAAGGGGCAAATTAGCTGAGTTCATTGGGTGATGTAGTAGAAAAAGTGACTACGGAAATTCTTGACAGCAGTTGCTTAAGGGAACTTTAGGATGGGTTGGTTAGCATTTAAAGGTGTAAAACTTGTAGGAATGTAAATTTGGGATGGGGGTGGGGGTGGGGGTGCGGTAATTTTCTGTTCAGTCTATATTGATTGGAATTAAAAATTGCAAATGGAAGTTACAAAATATATTACTGCTTGGATGATGTTAAAAAAGTGTCACTTAGATCAGTAAAACGAGCCCAAAAACTGTAATTTAGAATCCCACTACCGTCTGGTATTCCTTCCCTGAACTATATCAGTCTTGCCAATTGCTTTATGGCAGTGAGGGCATGCTTTACCCTGACTGGTACCTGGTGTCAATCAGTTCTCTCTCTTTGGCTGAATATGAGTATTTTGTTCCCTTATGCACTTTACATGCTGTACAAAAAATTAGGTTCTATACAATTGAATGACTGCTGACTGGATGGATGGCTTTTAACTGTAAATTTTAGGACTTTCCCTGACTGGAGCAGCCTGAATATTGATGATCTCCTGTGGAAATCTGCTGCTGTCAGAAATCTGTTTTATTTGACCGCAGTTCTGGCTCGAAGGCAATGTGGTGAAAATAATTTCTCAGGGTTTGGGATACTCCTTTTCCTTTGTGATGACCCTCGTTGGATATGGAACTGGTTTAGCTGTCGACGATTATTTTATTTTCTGTGCTGCACAGCTGGATTGATCGTCCATTAACGTCATTTTGATTGTGGAAAGTAGATGAAAATAAAGATATTCTTGCACCATGTAGAGGAGATTTCCTCCGCAACTCTATGCAAGGGGCAGTAGCAGTAGCATCCAGATGTACTGAGAATTTTATTGAGTTCAGCTGATGAAATATATGCTGGCAAATTCTGTGCTTCTTCTGTGGTATTTTCCATGCTTCACTGGTTCCCACTATTCTTTCACTGGATCTATTCAGTACTGTATTTCTCCAAATGTATTAAGCTCTGTATTTCTGTGATTCAACTGCATTGGAATTTAGCTTGTCTCAGAATCAAAAAACTCTGTTTAGAGGAAAATAACAGTTAGTTTGCTCAATCGTCTACAAAGTATGTGCTTTAATTATTTTTGTGATAAGATTTATTCGATCAGGTCTAGTTGATTGACTGATTGATTGACTGCTATTCATTTCTTTGAACAAGAAATCAATCAAAAACTTGGAAGATTAGTGCTGACAATTATTGTTATAGTTTGGTGATTGCATAATTGCAGTAGCATGCATCCAAGATGGAAATGGTGGGATAAGAAGTGGAATATAACCTGTTACCCCAAAGGGAATTGAAAGGATCTTACTTTTGAAGAAGGCATAAATCCTCTTTTAGGACCCATTTCCCCCCTCATTTCCCTTCCTAACCTGGCCATTATATATTCTTATTTTCATGTTTTGTTGGTCCTACTTCCAAGTGTAGTGCCTGTTGATGAAATTTAAAATGTGTTTTGAAATTCAATTCATTGTCTTATCTTTTTGTTCTGTTGCCATGAGGATGGCCTTGTCTTGAATGCCAGTTTATTGAACTTATTTAGGTTATGTAACCCATCCACTACTTGAGAGAAGAGAACGGTCCTACCATGGATTTTAATCATTGAAATCACGGTCTTTTCCTTTGAGACCATGAGATTGTTCTGTGTACAATACGGAAATGTAGTTGGATCTTTTCAGTTTGTGGGTCATCTACATGTGTGCTTTTGATTTTTCCTTTTCCATGATTGTTGTTTGAATCCACAAACACCGGCTTTTATGAAAAACTAACACAAACTTTTTTCTTCTTTTTATCTGAACAAGTGGTCCAATGCAGGAACAGGTTCTTCTTGATGCCTTGTGAGATTGGAAGCATGTGCCTGGATTGGCTACAAATGGATAGAAGATGTGGAACAAGTTGAAAGATATGTTTTACTTTTACCTTCTACCTAGTCAACATTATTAGGCTTTCAAACTTTCTCCCATCACTTGTATGATTGATAGAACTTGAAAAAAATCAAGTGGGTTATCTATTTAATCACCACGCACACAAGAAACTAAAACCCTCAAGGTAAAAAGGGTCATTGTCAATTTCCATGGTAAGAAGATAATTTGTTTGGAGCCAACTTGTATTTTGTGACATTGTAGACTTAAATTTTTTTGTGATTTCAGAAATTCTATTGATAACCAAATTTCCAGTTGGATAATTTATTATGTGCCTGTCATAATTTCAAGTCTGCATTCAAATCCCTAGCCAAATTTAGTTGTATGGGCATGTTGTGGGTGTCAGAATTATACTTGACCATTTGGTGCTTGTAATATCTATCTACCATGGACCTTGGACCAACCTCAGATCCTGAGGCTCTGAAACGTGGAATGGAGGCTCTGAAACGTGGAACGGTCAAGTCCGGTTGATTTAGACCCAACTTAGGAGGACAAAATATCTGGCTGATCAGAAACCCTAGTAAGGAATGGATGATGGATGATGAAAGATGGTGATGATGATGATGATGATGACCTCAAAGCCATTTTGACAGTTGCCAGTTCACAAGTTCATCTCCATAATAAAGTGATGTGAACATGTGAGGCTCTGGTTTTCTGCCCAAATTAGCATTTTGGGAGGCCCTGGCTTGCATGCTATCATTGAACTGATTTGGCACATGCTGCTGATGATGAGCTTCAAATTTGGTTTCTCTCTTTGAAAAAGCTGAGGACCACTGAGCCAAATTGGATAGCCAAAAACCTGAGGACAGAGAGATTTTTTTTACAGTATTTATTTTATTTATTTTTTTGTGTATGACCTAGTGTCAGTTAGTCCTTCACTGCCATAAACAGAGGACCTGGGCAGAGAAGGGATTCAGATTCAGAGTCATATTTGCCGACTTTATTTGCAATGTTGGAAAAGAGCTGTAGAGATGGAGACAGTACAAATCATTTTGAGTTTTGTCCTCTAACCAACCCACCAACAGAGCCACCTTTGGTTTTTAGCTCCTTCATTTTACCTTTTGCCACACGGGAGGGTTTTTTATTTTTTTATATTTTTTTCTTCTCTTTTTCTCTTTTACTCGGCCTCTCTCGCAAAAGCATTGTTGACATTACACTGATTTTGTTTTTTTCTATGCATGATTGGGTTTGAAGCTCTTTTACGAGCAAACAGAAGTCATAGTTCATGATCAATGTGCATTTCTGGGGAAGTTATGAGTTCCAAGCTCTCCACATAGGAGAATTTCTATAAATATATATATATATAAATATATATATATATACGTAGTCTCCTTTCATTAATGGATTTCTCAAATAATTTTATTTCATGGACACTTTTTAAGGTATCCTACGTATTTTTTTTCTTTAATGATCCAAACTATCTATTTTTTAGGTTTTCATTAATAGATCATCTTTTGCAAAAAATTAGACAAATCGGAAATCATTTAGACATCTAATTGTGTTACACAAAATCAATGAACACGATGCTTCAAAAAAGTACTAAAATTTGAATAATTCAATTGAGTGGTAAAATAATATTGGATTCAAGTGATTTTTTTTTATAAAGATTATCTTGGAATGAATATCTACAAAATTGATGGTTTGGATTAGTAAAATACATGCGGAGTACGCTTTACAAGAGTGTCCCTCAAATAAGATTTGAGGAATCCCTCACTGAAAGCTATATGCACACAGATTTTACTAAGTTTTCTTTATACGGGTCACTCAGCAATGTGGTTCAATGATTATATACGAACTATCTAAATTTTGTATACCTATTTAAGAACTCTTTCTTAGAGTAAGGTCATAAATTATAATGATGAGTTGTAATGAGTAGGTGATGAGGGGTTGTAATGAGTAGGTCAACGATAGTCATTCGATCGATGAAAATGTTTAAAACGGCTGGATTGAACCCTTAACATAATTTGTTCTTGTGAATACTGCCTGGTTGCATTGGCGGTGACACATTATGGCCCATTAAGCACCGTGCATGGCCATTAGATTCTCCAACTTGCCTGTTTTTTAGGTGAGATTGAAGATTGTCTTGTCCCTCTCTAAATATTTGCAAATTTACAGTCGAAACAATGGCTTGATTATGTATGGATTTTATGGACGTATATACTCATGTACAAAATTGAAATACTGGAGTATATTCATCGGCCTGTTTTTTCATTTTGACAGGTGGAATTTCTAGCCACCCACCCCACGTACCTGGTGGTGGTGGTGATCATTTATACGCCTTTTTGGCAATTGAAAACTTAAGTAAGGTGATTACTTGACAATTAAGATTGCAGTGAATTTTGGGTCAATCTACAATTAAGATTGCTTGGTGTCAGATCCAGAGCAAGTTTGGTGCACAAAACGAAAAACATTTTGATTGAGCTCAGAAAGACTTAAAAAAAATCATTCAATTCAACCACGCTCACATGAAATTTAACTTTAGACTGTTTCCATTTTCCCAATTTTAAGGCAAACTGAAATTTATTAATATATTGCAGATGGAAGCCAATGGGATTTGGTATGTGGGTTTTTCTTATTCTTTTTCTTTTTTCCCTTGAGTGTGTTCTCCTTGAATGACCAAATAAACCCTACATATTTTGACAACTTTTTTTTCCTTTTTCTTAAAAGACTCGTAGCTTTTTTTTGGAGAGAAACTTTCATGCAATGGAGATAATATTTTTTGCAATTCTCAGCCAATAACACAATCAAACGTGAGATAATTTTTTCACGTGTTATTGTGTTATTGGTCGGAGATAGCAAAACCCTTTACAAGTTAGTTTTCCTGCCTTTTTTAGGGTGACGTTGAACATGACCGACTAGAGGTACAATTCACTTGCAATCTTTATGCGTACTGATGTGACTCAATTGGAACGCCAAGAAATTTGTCCCCTCCATAATTTGAATTTCAAGACAATTCTCTTCATATTCCATCTGTAAATAAACAATCCAATCCATTTATCTTTATCTTTTTTTGAGTTACCGAAAATGACTATTTTATTGTCCTATGCAATCAGTCCGATAGTGAAAATCCAATATAGTTTCAAGAATTTGTCCTAGATTCGAATCTAAAGTACTGTTTTTTTAGTTGGCCAAACAAGAAAAATATAAACACCCTCTACTGATAGGTAACAATTATTGGAATAATAGTACAAAAGAATTCAACCAACCCTCTTACCCTTGATGGAAAGTTCACAAACGAAAAGAAAGCTGTGAAATGAAATCTGTTGGTACAAAATATCCATGGATGGACTTTGAAGTAGTGTCCTATATTTGTGATGCAAACTGAACGGTCACTTGAAACTGAGCTAGAGGGAAGTGTTTTTTTTATTTTTATTAAGAGACACCTGCAGATTTTGAACCTTGAAAAAGGGCTGTGGATGAGCTGGTAGATTAATCAGCTAGTAGAGAGGGCCCTTAATTTGGTACAGAGTGGTTGAAAGCAGTGGCTACTTTAAAGTCCTTGCAAAAATTTAAACATAATTTGAAAGGACATCACCATTTTTAACTCTATATGATCCAATAGAATTAGAACTGTTGTAGTATCATATACACGTGACAAAAATGCCAATTCTTTTATTTCAATTTCTTTTATTTCGCATTGAGAAATTTTCTTCAGTTTTGATTCTATTTATTGACATGGGTAATTGTCAACAAATAAAATAAAAATGAGATTTTCTTGACACGTCCGTCGTTTAAGAAAGAACCGACACCCGGCAGAGTGGATCTCTACCACTTAATTAGAGCAAGAGTCCACGTCCGAGCATAGGCATTCACACTACAAAATTTCAAATCAATGATGTGGAACTATATGCATATGTGGGTGGCCTACAGAAGACATTAATCATGCAAAATCAATCAAGCAAAACGAAACCCAATATCATAAGCAACAAAATTGCATCCAATATGTGAGAAAAATCAACATGCCTAGTGAGGATTGATGGTATGGGCAGGGCACATGCTGTGTTGGTTAGATACAATTTGTGATATGATATAAATTTTGAAATTATAGGGGAACAAAGAAATATTGCTCCATGCACAGAGGACATAACGAGCTGTGGGGGCCGTTTGTTAGTGCTTCAATGAGTTGTTTCCCATCTGGAAGTCTGGTGATCTCCAATGGAGAAAATTGTTCATTGTTTGGTACTTAAGAAACAAGGATTTGATTGGTGGTTGCTGGTTTCTTATGAATACTAAACCATGTAATTCATGCAAAGTTTCATTGCCAAAATTAAAATACTTTTCTATAAAAACCTTGGTTTGATGGTCTTGGGTTTTTGATCTTTGAAATCTTTCATAAAGTTATGGACATTTTCTTCCATGCATGTGCATATCTTGTAGTTTTTTTTGTTATGTTGGTAACAGTGGGAAGAGGAGGAGAGAATCTGCAGCACAGAGAGGGGTATATTTGCAGC